TACTCCCATTTCACACCAGTGTCACACAATACTAATATTAGGATTAGATTAATTTATGAACATTTTAAGCAGAAAGAACATTCCCTATTGAGACTGTGATCTAGCAGTGTTTTTGTTTGTCAAATTACTTTAAAATTATTTGGGAAAAAACTAAGAAACTTAATCTATAGTGTCCTATAACCACTTCAATACGCTGCAGAATTGAGTGGTCCTTGGAGTGTCCCTTTAATTAGTCCCATCCAGATCAGATATATAATTAGTGTCTTTGTAACACTTACATGTACTAGAATCAATTGCCAAATTGTGCCATTTCCTTCACTGTATGTCTTGTTACTGACGTGGTTTTACTTTTTACTCAAACATATCTTTAATTGGATCTCTCGCACTTGCACCTCTTTCCTTAGTAGCACAGGTCCAGAAACTGATGGTGGCTTCATGTCTATGGAGGAAGCAGTAGAGTTGCACACTGAGTGGCACAGATCTGTTTTTTGATTGTGGGGGCAGTGAAGTTGTTTGCAGGGCAGCTCAGATCTGTTTTCCTGGTTAGCAGCAGAGGTGTATGTAGAGCAGCACATATCAGTTTCCATTGGGGAAGTGGTAGTTTACACGTTCGGCAACACAGTTCTAATTTTGGGGGTAGGGGAGAAGTAGATTTGTTTTTATTAGGCAGCACAGATCAGTTTTCAGAGGGGAGCAGTACTGTTGTATGCTAGGTATCACAGATCTGTTTTAAGGAGTGGGCAGGGGGGGGGCAGTAGGGTTGCATGTTGGTTAGCACAGATTTCTTTCATTAACCATATTGGTGGGCATTCCCAGAAATGTATTATCCCGTTATGACACTATTTCACCACCCTTTGCCTGTGGCAGGAGGAAGCAGAATTGAGATTTGAGTTTCCCAGTACAAACATCTCCCTGCTCCCTTCCTTATTGCCCTAAAATGATTAAACATGCTTTTGGGAGTTGCAGTTGTTGATGAAGCCACACTCAACCCTAAACCTTTTAATTTCTTTTATTGCTGGGGCTACTGGGCTGTTTCCATCATGTAAATACAGCCACAAATCTGGTATGTTCTACCGTCTCATGGTAACTTGCTGAGTAAGGTCCTGGTGCTTTCCAATCAAATTTTAACAACAATGTCACAAAAACCCATTAGGGCACTGGAAGGGTTAACGGTTGCTCTTTGCGCAATGCAGCAATAATGGCAGCAATAATGGGTTGAGTCGTAAAGGCGCAAGGTGCTTAGTGAGAAAAGGCTATCGTAGGGTTGTCAAGATAATAGCAGGATGAGGAAAGAAGAATGAAAGATACGTAGAGGACAAAGTTGAGACGAGTAAAGAAAATAGAAGTGAGGGAAGGAGATAGAGAGGGAAAGAGATAGAGAGTGAGTTATTGGGTAAAAGTGTAAGACAGGCGATGAGAACAATCAGATCCGCTTGCACCCTTAAAGACTCTTTAATCTGCAACCCACTGGCTTTAGATGAGCTGGAGGTAGCCCTGTCAATGGAAGATCTAACGTTCTACGAGGCACAGTGGCGGGCACAGACCATGGCGACACGGCAGTATGCAGATTTCCTCAAGAATTAATTAGCTAACCCTTTCAGCTCCGGCTTCAGTTCGGGCAGTAAATGAAGACGCTGTGCTTGTAAGAAATGCTCCATTGACTCCTTCAGTATTTTAGCACAAAATGACGAATCTTCTCTAGCAGAAAATTGGTTAAAGGTCTTTAACTAAAAAAGGTGCATACACAAGGAAACAATTGCTTAAGACCTTACCATTTGTCTGGGAAGGCAAAAATCTGATAACCAAAGAGATTAGCATTAGCTTTCTGTACAATTTCTCGGTTGGCTTCTCCTGCCCACGCCATAATGTACTGATAGCATATAGGGGATTAGAGAAACTGCCCCAATCCGTATCACAGCAAGGAGGTTAAGTGATATATTGGGATGAGACCCATTATTTTACTGTCCCTGCAAATGCGATTACACCGTAGGATTCAATCATCTAATTTGTACTGGGATGGAATACAGATAGTGGAAACCTTTGAAAATGGCCATTGCATGAAGCAATTATAGTCACATTTGGGTCCAGCGCCTCTATGACTACACAATTCAGTAAAGTGCTCAAGGAAAAATGAGACAAAACAAGGATTGAATTGATTGAGAGAATTATCACCAAGGAGAAATGCAGGCGATCCCCCTACAAAAGTAAGGAACAACACAGAGCAACATAACGAATGTGATGGCAAAGGTCACAGCGACTGGCATGTAACGACCCAATATATGTCCATAGGATGCAGTCTTAGAGGGACATCTCCACAAATAACAACTTAGATGGTTAGTGTAAGAAAAAGTAACAAATATTCTCGTTTACATGTATTTCATTAACAACAAAACATTATGAAACAAAACAAAAATAAGAGCAGAGTTTACAAATAAAATGGTCAGGGCTTCTGACAAAAGTGATAGCTGGCTGAAAAAGGGTAAAAAGTTGGTGATTGCCGCTCTAAAAAGCTCTGGCTTTAAGATAGAGCAAAAATCATAACTAACTCAAGAGATCTTGTAACGTTAAAGGAACACTATAGTGTTATGAATACAAATATGTACTCCTAAAGCAAAAGTGACCTACTAACGGTTTAGATTACCACTTCCACGTCAAGTAAAAAGTTAGTTTCACTTACCCTTTTTCCTCATCACCACGATGCTCTCTCTACCTCTACCCCCGCCACCATGGCTGAGATCGTCAATCCTGATAATCTCTGACAAAACAATGCTTCCCCACAGGGAAGCATTGGGAGACTAGTGTGGATCCATGACAAAATCAGGCAGTATGTGATTGAGAACGGCGTTTGACTCGGATCTCACAGGGAAGCACATCTAGTGGCTGCCAAAAAGACAGACACTTGAGGTGTTTGACCACGCAATGGAAACATTTTGGTTTCTACAAAACTATGATTTACTTTGCAGGACTAAAACTAAAGGGTCACTGCACCCAGACCACTTCATTGAGATGGGTATTGGGTACTTTTATGGGTTACTATGATGTCACAGAGTGGAAGAGGGCATACACCTACAGTTAACCTTTGAAAAACCTCCAGCTATAAAGTACTGGACTAAAGGAGACAGTGGTATGATGCTATTTGCATCATAAACCAAGTGCTCCTACTGCAAAATGCATTAGGTATTAGATGGGTACTGTCTCCGAACTTCCCTCTACCATGGAATACTTGTACACACTTTTTAATGGAACGATAAATTATTTAACACAAATTATAATAAATTATTTTATACAAACATTGGTATGACATCATCACTGGGCGGCAGCTGTGCATAAAACGCTCTCATATGCTACAAAATACTAACACTGTTACTCACTAAAATGTAACTTAAGAATTCAAAGCAAATTTTTAATTTTCGTTCAGAAGAGAAGAATTATATAAATAGCCGACTTAAAGAATTTTTTTATTCAACAAATTTGAAACTTACAATTTCTTTTGAGTTCTCAACAATTTAGTCTTTAGTAAACAACCTTGTGTGTGCTGACTTATGATTGACTGTACTCTCGTCTCCCACCCTTTGATAGCCAAGTCGACTAGCTAACAATACTTTCACTTATATTTTCTAACGCATGCCATCAACTGTTTGCTAGATTCATACTATTCAATTTTCTTGTATTTTTTTTTTTTTTTTAGCAGTTATTTTAACTCTTATAGGCTATAGTAAAGGTTATGATTCCCTTATTTCTTATAATAAACTTGCCCTATGCAATGGATGGCCAAATACATTCATACACATAACTCCAGCATTAGATATGTCTCTGCACACTTCATGCCAACATGTTACATCTGCTGAATTATGGTGGCATGGCGATTGCGTGGAATGCTATGGTTACAAACTGAAAGATGTTGCCAGAATCCTGTAATCCCCTGAATTCCATAATTTATCATTATATGATAACTATAGACACACAAGATGTTTGTTTAGCAGTTTTGACAGGTGTAAAATTTCAGATTTATTACATTTATTTTATAAAAGGGTATGGTTATATGTGCTAAATTTGCATGTATATAATTTTGCATTTGATTCAAATTCTTATTTGGAATTTTTGGTCTTTTCTACAAAGCTTTTAAATAGAACAACAACAAAAAAAAATGGTGAAAATTATTTTCAAATCAATCTGTTGAAATGGTTCGCAGATCAGGATAAAAATCTATATTTCTGCTAATGAGTTTGCAGATTGAAAGGATGTTAGATTTCTGTAATATTCTTTTGATCCACTCAATTTTACAGTACCACAATTAAGCTTGCTACAGAGGACAATGCTACTTAGAGATCTGCGATTTAATAACTGATCTATTATAATTAACTCTGAAGCTACATGTATATTTTCAGCCATTTATAGTACAAGCGATGGAACCTTATCCTTTGATTTCAGGTGGATGCCCAAGTTACCTATTTGGAGAATTTGTCTAGATTTGTCAGATCTTAGGTATTAGATTTTTGCTACCAGCTAGAGGTTTGAACACACTTTCTGGCATCTAGTATTATTTCATTGTTAATGTCTTACTTGTAAATAAAAAAAAAACAAAAAAAAAACAAACAAACAAAAAAACACTTGGCAAAGAAAAACCCGTTACAATGAAGAAAACAAAATATAAGGCTTACCAAAGAAATGAATTATCTGCCAAGCAGGAAATAAAAGGATTATTCAGTTTAATGTCCCAACCTCAGGTGTTTTTAGACCTTGTTTCTTTAGAAAGAGATTAAGGCTTTAAGACCATATTCACAACACTAACATAGCTACAACATATGTTTCCAGGCCATTATTTTGCCTAAGAATTAACTGCCCAGCTGCCTACAATCTTGGGGAATGTTATGTCATGCCTTTGACATATAGCAACCATCATGGTTGAGTTGCTATTGACTTGGTCAAGATAAAGTTTGCCACTAGTGATGTCCCGAACGGTTCGCCGAACGGTTCGCGAACGGTTCGCGAACGGTTCGCCACAGACTCCAGTCAGCAGCAGACCCTCCCTCCCAGACCCTCCCACCTCCTGGACAGCTCACTAAGAATTCAGCTTCAAAATGGATGCTGTCCAGGAGGTGGGAGGGTCTGGGAGGGAGGGTCTGCTGCTGATTGGCTGGAATGTGTCTGCTGACTGGAGTCCGTGGCGAACCGTTTGTGGCGAACCATTCGGGACATCACTATTTGCCACCAGTAATGCAACGACAGGTCTTAAAGACCAACAGCTTCTAGTTCCTTTACCCTATTAAATGCTGTTGTAGCATTAATTGGGGTGAATAAAACTGAAGGGGTAAGGAAATAAAAAAATTAAAATACCAAATAAATCCCCCAATGCTTACCTTCCCTGCACTTTTGATTTCTGTATAGTTTCTGTGCTCATGCGCACTTTGGCATCTACGGCAAAATTTGTATGTGCGCTCAGCACCTTAACATTTAGGTATTGATTGTGCTTGGTGTTATTTTTTTTAAAATTATCCTTAGATATTATTTTTAACAGATAATTATTAATAGGTATGAGATGAAATTTAAGGGGTGTCTGAGCATGTATTCAGTTCTACAGTATTTTACTGCGGCTATCTGGAGCAAGCATGAAGGTACCCAAGACATCACGGGGGAGCAAAGTTATCCTGAGCGTGGAAGTGCAACGGAGGAAAGTACATTTATTTGCATATTTTTGCTACTTTGTACTCTCCACCAAATGCTTAAATGGTGGAGGAGACAAGGAGCTGTCACTATTTGTCTCTGATATATATGAGCACAATAATTTTACAGAGATGAATATTAGTGCTCTAAAAGTCATAGAAATTTCTTTCAACCTTATACTGCGCGCGGTGTGTGGTTCTGAACAAAACAAACAAACAAACAGAAATAAACAAACAAATAAAACTGGCCTGATTCAGCTATATAAACTTTGCAGCCTACCTCCCAACACTGAGGTATGCAAATCGGGATGGGTGGATGCTCTCTGACAGGGCACATCACCATTGACGCTGCTGTAGCACTCTCTGCAGGACCCTTGGGTTCTTGCCGGCCCCCAAATTGGAAACAAGCCTATAATATCAGAGCCAGGATATACGAGCTCTATAAAACGTGAGGCTAACCAATTATTTAAGGTTAATGGTTTATGCACATTACACTATGGGAAGTCCTTTTTCTCTCATGTTCCATGAGTTTGGAATCCTATCTGATGGGAGATAGTATGCTGCCTTAAAAGCATAGAGGTGCTGCTTACTGAGCCAGTGTTTTCTCCGGGTCTAACCCATGTAAGTGGATCCAAACATATTTCAAAACATTTTAAACGTACTATCTGCATTTGTTTGTTTCTGAGATATATTTTAGAATAGGATAAGATCACAATTGTTTGCATGTCATTTAGCGCTCCACTTTACACTTATATCACAATTTTAATGGATTTTATTTTGAGTATGGTTAAGGGGGTACCCCCACACGGGAGTGTTAGAGCTACTGGTCACTTTATATGAAAAAAAATGGTTTTAAGAGCTTAATTTGGTTGCATACTTTGCTCTAAGGAGTTGTTGATTGTTATATGCACACAATTGTGCCCAAGGACTATTCCCTGCCTGAATGCAGTCCTGTCCTGCAAATATAAATAAAATAAACGTCCCCATTTCATAGTACAGAGCTATGGTCTTGAGGCCTACCACGTCAATTCTCAGTAATCCACTGGCTAACAATGAAGCATATATTTGCAAAATTCATTGTCCTTTGTTCAATTAGATTAATTATTCAAAACAGATTTTCTCTTAAAATGGGTTTGTGCGGTAAGCGGAGGTGTCCTTTTTAATTGTATTTAATCGGTATATATTTCAATGATCCAATAGGTTAAATCTCCCAAGTTATTGATGTCTTAATGAATGGACTATTTTAGCTTCACTATTCTTATAAAATCAGTTGGCTTCCCCGATGAGTTGGTTGATTGACGGCTACAGTCAGTCCGAGGTCAGCCAGCATTTGAATAACATCAATGCGTTGTGTGTAATAAAAAAATAAAAATAAATAAAAGAATTAAGCACTGGAATCCAAGCTACATTTTACTAAACATTTCTCAACGCTTAGCAAGATGGGTATTAAAGGACCACTATAGTGCCAGGAAAACATACTCGTTTTCCTGGCACTATAGTGCCCTGAGGGTGCCCCCACCCTCAGGGACTCCCTCCCGCCCGGCTCTGGAAGGGGGAAAGGGGTAAAAACTTACCTTTTTCCAGCGCTGGGCGGAGAGCTCTCCTCCTCCTCTCCGCCTCCGATCCGCCCCGGGCTGAATGCGCACGCGCGGCAAGAGCTGCGCGCGCATTCAGCCCGTCGCATAGGAAAGCATTTACAATGCTTTCCTATGGACGCTTGCGTGCTCTCACTGTGAAAATCACAGTGAGAAGCACGCAAGCGCCTCTAGTGGCTGTCAATGAGACAGCCACTAGAGGATTAGGGGGAAGGCTTAACCCATTCATAATTATAGCAGTTTCTCTGAAACTGCTATAATTATGAAAAAATGGGTTAACCCTAGAAGGACCTGGCACCCAGACCACTTCATTAAGCTGAAGTGGTCTGGGTGCCTAGAGTGGTCCTTTAAGATAATGTAGCAACTGTTTTATTTAATAATCATACATTTGAACATAATTTGAAAAACAAAAAAACAAATACCAGGATTCATATAAATCCTGTAATATGCTAAAATAAAAATGACAGGATTCACACTAAGAATTGTGTTATGCTAAAACTTAGTGATTTTAAACCATGTGTATCAAGCAGAAGTGGTTATTATTCTGTTTACCCACAGAAGCAGGACACTGTAGATTTAATGAGGGATGCAAGTCACAGATTCATATTGGAATAACATTCCAGAATAAAGACTGTGTCATCAGCACCGGGAAACTTGGCAGGTATGTTTTAAACCCACTTTGAATACATTACCAAAACAACCAGAAAAATATTCAAATACACCCAAAACTGGATTGCAGTGAGAACAGCACACCGAAGTGATAACCGCAACAGGAATTTAGAAAAAGAATCAACAGCCGTGAAAATTTAAAGTTTGCCATAAAAGTGAGAATTCCAATTAAATTTCTAGAAATCATGTAACGTAAGGTCAATTCCAGACAAATCACTGTTTAGTTTACAGTTCGCACGCTGTATCCTCATTGTGCCTCAAGCACAATTCTAACAGTAGTAAATGAGGAAAAACACAATACAAGACAATACAAATAAATATTTAATTCCAGCCCTGCAATTGCCTTAATAGTTTGCTTATTTTTTGTATTCTGCTTTGCATTGTTCTATTTATGCCCCGAGACCTTACAATTAAGAGTACAGTGTGCGTGAATTAGTCATGTTCACAGGAACTGCTGACAAACAGGAATTAAATTGTCTCACATGTATATTGAATTTAAGCCACAGGAATCGGGACCTCCTTACACGCCGTAGTGTACGACGTTGGATTTACAATATCTTTCATGTTATATTATTTTCTTATTGTATTCTCATGGCTTTAAATCTGGAAACAGAAAGCATTGATTGCTGATAAATAAGTCATGAGAAATAACTCAATCTCTCCTGGTAGCTACAAACCCTACGCCCACTTATTGAATGCCTTATTGCTTTAATCATCTCACGATTCACATCAGCTTAAATATCTCAGCAATACGCTTGTGGACAAACACAGCTTTGGCCCAGCTTTTAACCAAGGTCGATAAAGGTCAAAGTATATCACCTTCCTTACAGTCGTGTGACACAAATAAGAGGACAAGGGAGAACTCAATGCTTATCCTAAACTGCTGCAATTTATTTGTGCATGCCAGGTACAGATTGCAGGACCGGCCTACCAAGCTGGCCTAAACAGAGATGGGGATACAATCTAATTATATTGAATTCTTTGATGTTGACCCTTCATGGCAAATAAAAATATAAAACCTGTTCGGCATTGCCGGAGTTCAGAAGCAAAAAAGACACTCTTCTTCTCTATATAATCTGCATAACACTAAAGTTGATTTAAAGGACCACTATAGTGCCAGGAAAACATACTCGTTTTCCTGGCTCCATAGGGTCTCTAGGTCCACCCCACCCTCAGGGCCCCCCTCCAGCTGGGCTTTAAGGGGTGGAAGGGGTTAAACTTACCTCTTTCTCCAGTGCTGGGCGCAGGGACTCTCCTCCTCCTCTCCTCCTCCTTCTCGTCATCGGCTGAATGCGCATTCTCAATGCTTTCATATGGACGCTGGCGTCTTCTCACTGTGAAAATCACAGTGAGAAGCATGGAAGCGCCTCTAACGGCTGTCAATGAGACAGCCACTAGAAGCTGTATTAACCCTATTATAAACATAGCATAAACTGCTATGTTTATAGAAGAAAGGGTTAATCCTAGCTGGACCAGGCACCCAGACCACTTCATTAAGCTGAAGTGGTCTGGGTGCCTATAGTGGTCCTTTAGGTTTGAGAATTACAGCAAGGGTGGCCTTTTTTTGAAGGCTTAGAAAAATTCAGGACATTTAAATTTTGACGCAGATAAGATTATTTTTTTTATAGTGTTTGTATTGTTTGTGTCGCTATAAAACATGTCGTTATATAAATAGGTAGAAGTTATATTTAGGTACTGGGCTCACCGTTTTTTAAACAGCATACAAAGTCACAGAGCTGCGAAAAATGTTGCCGCTTTCTAAGTAAATGTAATATTAATAACTATAATTTCTGTCGGTGCCAGTTGAGCACAGCGAAGCGGGAGGAAAGGTGGGTAGATATGTCCACAACCCTTCCCTCGACTACAGGCTGCTTAATATTTAGCATTATTGCTCTGTTTATGGAGTAGCAACATTTTCGGCAGTGATGTACAGCGTGTTTACGTGCGCAATGCTTATGCATAAAAGATACACTTCACAGGGAATAATTTAGCATAAAAAAAAACACAAAACACAAACAACAACAAACAAAAGGTTGACTAGTTCTACAAAATGAAAGGCAGACTTTGCAGTTCAACCTCTAAGACCCCAAACTGTGTCTGTTTAAGCTAGTTACATTTAAATCCACTCTGTCCATATAATGTTAAAACAATGTTAAAAATGTCAGAAAGACATGAAGACGACTTGCGTAGCAATTAAAATGACGGAAATAATGCGAATTGT